TATGAATGGAAAGCTGAGACTCTCGTGGATCCAATGAGTCCATTTGTATTCATGTGTGTAAAATGACCTGTTGTGACCTCTAGGATAATCACAGCCTCATGAAACTTTGTGTGGCTTCTCTGAGAATATTGAAAATAAAAGAGGTTTCTGAACAGTTTCCGGAACAGAAGTGCTCGCCATCCATTTGGCGAAAAATGCAATTCTTGCAGAAATCTCAAAATGTCAAAAGTTTTTAGAGCATGGGTTTTTCTATAGTCTTCCCCAAGGTCCTTGTGTCTTTTTGTGGTCATTTCTAGGGATTTTTTATTAATTTTCGTCAATTCTCTCGTGGTCAAAAACGGTTAAATTTAGCACCATATCTGTGATACAAATGACATCGACCCAAAAATTGCTGCAACAGCTTATGAGACGTAGCAGAGCATGGGAAAGACCATCGTATACATGCATCACGATGTTCTAAGCCCTAATTAATTCATCATTATTTCTGATTCATGACTTGAACAACTTGACACACGTTGCTGAGCTGCTTCTCAATCTCCTCTATCAATAACAATCTCTAATCTGCAGGTTCCCTGTCCCCCTCTAAAAATGAATAAGGGCTTAACAATCATCTCAAGTGCTTCTGGGATGTACTGTATTACACTTTTGTTATTTCGCTTTTTTGAGCTCATGCGAAGACGGACAAATGTATTCAAGAAAAATGTAGCAGATACATTCAGTATCAACACTGTGACAATTAGTTTTGTCATCATGTCCATAGAAATGAATCCCTTATCCCTCAAATACAATTAGCAGGGTATACATTTTGGATAAAGACTTAATTATTATAGCAATAAATGCTTTGTCTTAGGTCTCTTTTAAGGTTTTTGAAGTATATGTGAAATGTTCTGGGCACTTATATGTGTCTTCAAAAGTTATTTAAACAGTTTGGTGCAGGTTAGTTACAGGTTTCTGCACGTCTCTGCAGCTTCAATTTGAATCTGATTTAACACGGAAACAGGTTTTTGCAAAAATCAGCTTTTGTATGTCTTTGTGTTTTCTAAAACTTGTCTGAAAAAAAAAAATCAGATTCTCATCTAGATTTGCATGAAATGTAAATTTTAAACTGTCAGTCTCACTGAGGCTCATTATTTTCATCTTTAAAAAAAACAAAATCTGAATTAGTTTATTTCTATTATGAATAATACAAAATAGATGAGATGTTGATGCTCCTGTGCTATTTGTATGTATAAATAAAATAATATGCAGACATTTTAAGCAAAATTGGACCCTTTCTGTGCAAATGGCAAAAACAGTCCACTTCACAAAGATCAGCGCTAATTGCCGGATGCAGTTACAGTGAAACTATAAGCGTATTCCGAGAGTTGGTGGTAACTGTAGCACATTTGCAAAGGCTGTCGTTTATTTTGGGACGCAGCGTCAGGACGCGATGACAGCTGGGCCATGAAAAATAAATGAATTTGGCTCCTCTCCACATCATTTTTGAAAATACATGAGAAAATAAACAAGATTGATCGAATCAATGAATTTATGCTGCTGTGCTTCTCCTTAAGGCAGGGGTGTCAAACTCATCTTCACTCCGGGCCACATCAGCATCATGTTTCCCTCAAAGGGCCGGTTGTAACTGTAAGACTGTATAACTGTAACTACTCCTAACATATTGTTAAATAACTCTCTCTGCTTTTGATTATTGTTTATTCGTGTTAAAATATTATACATGCAGTTATATAAATGTAAAATGATATTTAAGCACATTTCTGTTATTATAACATAAATCATTTTAATTTAGGGTTAAGAAACCCACATTACTCTATCAAAGATCAAACTGTTAAAGAAAATAACAAAGACAAATATCATCAAACACAAGTTATGACATTAACTTTGTTCAAAGCTATTGTTGTCACCTCTCTGCATCACTAATGCCGTCGTCCCGTGCATGGCAGCTACATCCAAGAGCTCCTCACAGAGATCAGGTCTTATAAACACGGATGGATGCTCTGTGTCCGTGTTGTCTGTGCTTTCATCAACAGATAATGAAGAAGACGAGTGCCTGCTCGTCTCTGAGCTAGCTGTGTTGTTAGATTGCTGCTAGTTCCTGAACTCGGTCTGCGATGGTGTTTCTTCACAAACTGACATTTGTAAAAGTCTGTATCTGGTCGGAGCTCACCTGCTCACAGACCTTTAGCGTGCACTGGGCTGTAGCTTCTGTAAATATATTCTGCTGTGATTGCACTCTGCCTTTTAATTCTTGGACAATTTGATGTTTTTCTTGGAGGCTAAATTTTGCTCCGTGTTTGGTGTCAAAATACCGACGTGAATTATATCCTTCATCACCGACACGCATCATAACACAGAGGACAGACCCGTTTTTCTCCTTGAAGCACAGACATGTATTCGCTTTCCATCTTCTTCCCTCTGCATCAATTTTTCTCTTCGTGGACATTTTGGGATTATTTGTTGATCTTTTTCAACTCAATTGTTGGAAAACCTCTTTACGGGCTGTTGCCTCTCCAGTCCACCTGTTGTAATGTCACAGACATATCTCATAATTTCAACTTTCTATCTCATAATTTCGACCATGGGGATACTTTTATTTAACTTTAAATTGTTTTTCCAAAATTAAAAAAATAAATAAATAAATAACTTTTTTTTTTGTAACTTTTTTTTTTTTGCTGGCGGATTCGCGGGCCACATAAAATGACGGGCCTTGAGTTTGACACATGTGCCTTAAGGGAAGAAACACTTATCGTAAATAATTGTAATTGATATTGTCCGCATTAATGTATTTCTTTCCCCCAACAGAGGAGTGTATGGCCTCGAGCACATTTATACTTTGTCACATGGATAATAGCAATTAGAAGCAACAAAAGTGTGGATTCCATTCAGCTGCAAACCTGTGTGGCTGTTTTTGGACTACAATTACATGTGCATGATTTTATTTTGTAAATCGGACCTTGAGACGCGGTAGATAGAAGTTTTTCAATGATCCGCAATTCATGGTGCCATCATTTCTTCGTGAATTTGCCCCAAAGTAGTTTAACCATTCCAGATAATTTTATTAAATACTATGAGGGAAGTTCATTTTTCTCTCATATCTGAGCTGAGCTCGTCAATTTATACATTAAACTAAAATGATCACACAAAATTCATGTGAATTCATGTCAACAATCTTAAAAACCCATGCATGTATCAATCAAAATCTGTTTGTTATCACTTGTAGACTCATGAATTAAACAAAATAAAAGCGTAATGCATCATTAAAGGCAATGAAGACTTGACCAATCACTTTACAGGATAATATAATTGTATAAAAGCTCAGAATATTATTATTTTACACAGTATGTGGCAGTTTTTACATCACTGCTCAGGAGAAATTACAATGGAAAGCAGAACATTTGAGTCGGTCTGAAGTCTCAGATGATTAAAATAAAAATAATCTGCAGGCGTAGTGTGAACAGCGTTAGACAACATGACATTTTAACTTGGCAGGAAGGATTTAGACAATATTGCAACAAGACGTTTGTGTGGTTGCTCTGGTGACAAGCTGGCGAGGAAATTGTGATAAGATGACTCAAACCTGCAGAGAAAACCTGAGAGAAAATAACAGCTGACTGCTTTAAGAGACAAAACAGACGGCAACAAAACCAATAATAGTTGTTCAAAAACACACCGGCCTCATCCATTAGAGTCCTGAACTGAAAGCAGTGACTGTGGTCAGTTTGGTTTCATGTTATAAGAACAGATTCAATCATGATGAGAAAAGTCAAGCAAGGGTGAATTTATCTTACATGGCAAAGCAGGTCAGCTGTTAATCTCAGAGTTGGAGGTTTGATTCTCCACCTGTCCTCATGTTGAGGGCATTCAAAGGATGTACGGCTTTCTTAGGTTTGTTGACAATAGAAGGGTTTCAGAGCAGTTTCCAGAACAGAAGTGCTCGCCATCCAATTGCCAAAAAATGCATCTCTCTCATAAATCTCCAAATGTCGAAAGTTTTAAAAACCAAATAACAGCTGGCTTTTTCTATGGCCTTCTCCTATTTGGGATCTTTGATCATTTTTAACAATTCACGAGTGATCAAAAATAGTTTGCACCATATCTGTATCAATTCAAAAATTGCTGCATCAACCTTTGAGACATAATGCATGAGAATGGGCATCATATACTTCCATCATAATGTTCTTAACCCTAATTCATTCATTCATTTTTTCCATTTCTTTACTTCAGAACTTGACGCACAATGCTGCATCTCAAATTAATCTTCAGGTTCCCCATTTTCACTTCTATGTGCATCTACTGTTGACCTGCTGTCTCCCCTAAAGGACCCCTGTCCCCTTCTGAAACAGATAAAAACGCATCCATGCGGACCTTTAAGGGTAACCAATCAGATTTCAATCCGTCTTGAATGCTTCTTGGATGTACTTTGCCGAGTGGATTTATCTTACATGGCAAAGCAGGTTGGTTGGTAGTTCCATTCTCCACCTGTCCTCATGTTTAATTTTCCTGGAGCAAGATACAAAACCCCAAATTTATCCAGATGAATGATATGGTAGAAAAAAGATTGAAGACACCAAATGTCTGTAATGAATGGAAAATGGTTCAAAAACTTCCTGCTTAATAATCTACTTCAGAATGTCCAAACAATCACCGCACATTGGCACATTTCATCCCCAACCTCCATTGGTGAGGATAACTGTTTGTCTTGCATCTCATTTTCTTGGAACTTTAGAAGGAGCACTTTGAGTGACATGACCAGGAGCCAATCAGTAAGCTGAGATTCAGACAAATGACCCAAAGTTACATTTCTCAACGAGTGATCTAAGATTAATGTAAGAGCAGCAGACGAGCAGTCTAGCATCAAGAAACAAATGCTCACAAGCTTGATCACATGATTAGAACACAATTGTTTAAAATCACTGTCCCAGCGAGCAGAGACACCTAAATAAATGTTTGTCAACTACGTCTGAGCCAGGAATCTGTTCTTGTCTTTGTGTTTTTGGCAGGAAGTGCAGGGACTCCCGTCACCTTCAACGAGAATGGCGACGCTCCCGGACGCTACGACATCTTCCAGTATCAGATCAACAACAGGTCGACGGCAGAGTACAAGGTCATCGGACACTGGACCAATCAGCTGCATCTAGATGTAAGGACCAATGAGCTCAATCTGTCATCATTAAAGTGATGATGGTGATCATTTTAACTAACCGTGCACGGCAGCTGGATTCTCGTGAAATCCATCTTGTTAAGGAATGCGGCCAAACCACTCTGTCCCAACCGCAGTGGGCCAATCAACGACGCTGGCATAGATCCTGCTATAGCATCAGATATATCAGAACCGGGGAGTATTAAAGGCTTTTCTTGATGGAAAAGGTGTTTTTGATCTTCTGCTGACTGACTTTGTTAAGAATTTGATTGACCGATGGTTCATCCAATCACCTGCAAAGTATTAATTGAAAGAGCCTGCCCTTTTTCCAAAACACTTTCCAATGACGGCTTCTCAGATGGTTCTGTGTAACAAACCATCTGGCACATAAGGTTTGATTTCAACAGCCCAATAATGTAGATGGTCATAATGCCAATTCTATGCCAGATGAAAATGGTAAATAGTAAATGGATTACTTATAAAGCGCCTTTCTAGTCTACCGACCACTCAAAGCGCTTCAACACTACATGTCATTCACCCATTCACATCCATTCATGCACGGACAGCAGGGGCTACCATGCAAGGTGCCAGCTTGACCATCAGTAATAACTAACCATTCACACCGTAGGTACTGCCTTCGGGAGCAATTTGGGGTTTAGTGTCGTGCACAAGGACACATCGACAGGGACTGAAGGATCCGGGGATTGAACCGCCAATTAAAGTGTTTATAAAACAAACGGACCTGACTTATGTTCTCATTGATGTGACTATCTGATGAAATCTTTATTCCTCTTTACAGACGGAAGTAATGTTTCCAACTCTTCCAACTTTGTTAACTTATCCTTAGTTAGATAACCTAAAGATGCTTGTTACAAAACATGATACGTTTTCTCTGGATGTTGGAAACAGCAGTTCGACAAAAACAATCTGAACTCAAGCTTGATAACAAGCTACGAAGTGGCTTCGATGTGATTAAATGATAATTCTGATGTTGCTGAGCTGTTTGGTCAGCTTATCTGTTGGATGAGAAATGTTGACCAGCCTGGTTCCTCCTCCCTCCTCCTTCAGATGGAGACCCTGCAGTGGACCACCGGCGTCTCCTCACTGCCGGCCTCGGTGTGCAGCCTGCCCTGCCGGATCGGCGAGAGGAAGAAGGTGGTGAAGGGCGTCCCGTGCTGCTGGCACTGCGAGCGCTGCGAGGGATACCACATCCAGGCCAGCGAGTTCACCTGCGAGCTCTGCCCCTACGAGAAGAGACCCGACCAGAACCACACCAGCTGCCAGGCCATCCCCATCATCAAGCTGGAGTGGCACTCGCCGTGGGCGCTGTTGCCCGTCTTTATCTCCGTCCTGGGAATCATCGCCACCACCTTTGTCATTGTCACCTTCATGCGCTACAACGACACCCCCATCGTTCGTGCCTCAGGGCGGGAAATGAGCTACGTGCTGCTGACGGGCATCTTCCTGTGTTACGTCATCACCTTCCCCATGATCGCAGCACCCGACGTGGTCGTCTGCTCCTTCCGCCGAATATTCCTGGGCCTCGGCATGTGCTTCAGCTACGCCGCACTGCTCACCAAGACCAACCGCATCCACCGTATCTTCGAGCAGGGAAAGACGGCGGTGACGGCACCGCGCTTCATCTCACCAGCCTCCCAGCTGGTCATCACCTTCTCGCTCATCTCGGTCCAGCTGCTGGGTGTCCTCATGTGGTTCGCCGCCGACCCGCCCCACACCTTTGTGGACTACGGCGAGCAGCGCACGCAGGATCCCGGGAACGCTCGCGGCGTCCTCAAGTGTGACATCTCCGACCTGTCGCTCATCTGCTCGCTGGGATACAGCATCCTCTTGATGGTCACATGCACTGTTTATGCCATCAAGACACGTGGCGTGCCAGAGACCTTCAACGAGGCCAAACCCATTGGATTTACTATGTACACGACCTGCATCATCTGGCTCGCCTTCATCCCCATCTTCTTCGGTACGGCGCAGTCGGCGGAGCGGGTGAGTGTGCCTCGCTGATAAATGATGTACATGTTTTATGTAATGTTCAGCCCTCCAGCATCAACATGTCCTCACTCACATACGGTATGTTTTCTGTCTGACACAGGTGACAGCATATTGATATCTTGTAGTTTGTACTTTTTATTTTTTCGGGGAATTTTTGTGAAAACTTCAATTCCCAAATCCCAAAGTGTTCTTCAAATATTACACAACGAGCGATTACTCCTGATATGCAGAAATAACAGAAAACGCTGGGGCATTACATTTACTAATTGGGCGAAAGGCTTCAAACTCTTTTTTGTGAGATTTTTTGAGCAGGGAAAACCTTCTTATTCCAGATAGAAAAAGACAAAAGCAGCTTCTTTTTGTCTCCTGGGGACCGTTGATTTTGAAGTGTTTCTGGCAGAGTTATTCAGCTCTAGCTAGCGAGAACATTAACATTAGTTTCATGAGTTGGTCCTAAACTTTAGCTGACTCATTTTAAGACTAGAACACTTTAAAAATATCTTAAACATGCACTTGATGGCTACTATATCACGGTAACAGACTGGAAGCTAAGGTATTAAGGTCTTAAAAAGTAAGCACCATGATCTTTGTAGAAGACACAAGAAAGAAATGAAGATTGGTCTTGTATTGCAGGGTAGAGCTAGTTAATAGTTTTCCAGACAAATGTAATGCATATTTTAACCTAAATTATGGTCCATTTAGAGTCAAATAGATCATAAAGCAGGGGATGCTTTAGGGCGGGGCTTACTGTGATTGACAGGTCTCTACCACGGTGTTGTCCGTTCTGGGAGTTGTCAGTGTTTACATCTTAGAATTTAAACCCTTTTAAAGTGTTTTCAGTTCCTGAAAGTTAATGGTCACATTTTTAGTTGCAAACGAGATGGCGACTGCCGTAAACCAAGATGGCGATGGCCAAAATGCTAAACTCGAGGCTTTGAAAAGGTAGTCCACAAACCAATGGGTGACGTCACAGTGACTTCTTATATACAGTCTATGTACTTGACCTCAGTGCCCATTTCAAATAGTACGCTTTAGGGCGGAGCTACCTTGTGATTGACAGGTCGCTGCCGCTGCCAGAAGCGTATCCGGCGTCACTACGTCACTCCTCCGCATTCCAAATGTGGTAACTAACGTCAATAAATATTTTATACTACCAATTTTTTAGCTTTTAGGCGGTTGCTAAGAAGTGGCTAAATGAGCTTACTAATCACGCGGACTAGCCCGCTCTTCCAGCCTCGTGTATAAATCCAATGGAAAATTCCAACTTGCTTTTTGTCGAGGGAACCAGTGCGACGCTAACTTTTGGGTTGGCCTACCAAAATGACTTTATCCCTGCAGCACTTAAAAAGACGGGAGCGAGCAAAGCGGCGAAATATTATCTGCTAATCATAAACTCTCTCTCTGCACATGTTAAATAAAAAGGTTTATCTGTTACCAGCCTTCACAAACCAGTTAATGCTCCGTTCTGACTGACTGATTGATCGTTGATTAGTTTCTGATCACCACAGGCCCAGTCCAGTCTGCTCTGCAGCCTCAGCACACAAAACTAATTAGAGCAAAATTAAATTTAGCACATTCAGATGACTGTTTTTTTGGGTTGAGTTTGCTGTAAGCGAGATGCCAGATGGAGGATTTTGCTCATTATCGTGTCTGTGGGGAGATCAGGAGGACAGGTGGAGCGATTCACTGTCATTTCCTCTAAACCGAGTTTATCAGTCTTTTTTCTCGCTGCTACAGTTCAGTTACCAATGATTTGTTGTTGTAGACACAAGCGACCCTAATCACATCTGATTTCCAATCAGTGAAAGCAACATGGCACTTTGAAGCTCAACTGAAGTGTTCTGGAAGGGTCTTCAAAAGTCTACCCAAAGTTACCAAAGTCATCCCTTCAAAATCCTGTCAAAGTGACAAATTAACAACTAACTGTTGAAATGTAGAAGCCAGAGGCCGCCTGTAGGTCAGTCGGTTGGGCGGTCCACCTTTTGTTCCAGACTGAAATATTTCAACACTTATTCAATAGATTGCCATGAAATTGAAAGACGTTTGTGGAGCTCAGAGGAAGACTTGTTCTCACTGTGGTGATCCCGTGACTTCTCCTTTATACACGGTACATTATTTCCGGACTTTCACGAGATTGAACTGTAATGTTTCACAATTAATTTACACTATTATCACTTCACAGGCTTTAACTGTGATGATTCACAATACTGTACTGATTGCATTGTGAATCATTGCAGGGACACAAAGGCTTTGTATGCTATAGTGCCATCTCTACAACTTACTTTGCATTGAGCAACCTGCTGAACGAACACAAATGACCCTCATTAAAGATGAAGGAAAGCAAGATCTGACCCCACACACCTTCTTTTAACAATGGCCAATCCATATCCTGTTAACGTGTGACTGCAGTCGCATACTTTGGTCTCATGAGACCCCTGAGCCAGTTACATTCCCTGATAAAAAAAAGGGGGAGAGGAAGCAGGTGTGCGTTGAAAGCCCCAAAAAGCTAGTAAGGGGATTTGAGATTGAACTTTCGGTTATTTTGTCACACAGTCTTAAGAACAACTGAGTAACTGCAGTGTCCAGGTTCCTCCTGATACCCTGATCTGATGAGAACTAGGTTTCAGTTCTACCTTGGGTTATTTTTACCCATAGAAATGGCTGATGCAGCAGATTCAGACTGAATGTTCAGACACGCTCGCATGAAGATTACATCACCGTCCCCCCGAACAGAGATGAGGTGTCACACCGAGCAGCCTTAGCTTCAGAGTGCAGAGAAGTCTGCAGACAAAATCCTCTTCTTCTGCAGGAAATCTCAGTGTTTTTACTGAAAGGCTGCAGCCAAATAAAACTTTCTTTTTCTGTAATCACTCGAGAGACAGACTGTTTGAAATGAACACAACACCTCAGGCCTTCTTATTCATTATTCAATGAGCACTGTTGCGTCTGCTGTTTGGGCTCTTTATCAACCTGCTGCAGCAGCTCAAAGCGTCCCGTCTGCTGCAGACACATGAATAATGTGACGGCTTTCATATAATCACAACAGGTAAATCGATGAAACACCTGCACATCTGGTAAACATTTCAAGTTGAAATCCAAGTCTGCTTCCATTTACGTCTGAGTTGATTTATTTGGTGAAATTAACCAGGAACTATTATTTTCTTTAGATACAAGATGATTTTAAAATATCTTGTTTGCTGAAGAGGAACATATCAGAAACTTTTATTTTTTACTAACGTTGAAGTGCTTGAAGAGCTTAAAAACCTGGAGAAATAGAACTGCTGAACGTTCAGTGGTTGTTGACTTCCTAAAATATTTTCATTTTAAGTGTAATGAGCAAAGTTGAAGAGTCTGTTTGTGTGTAATCGCTGAATGAAGTTGATCTTTTAGATTAAAGAGTAACAGCTGCATGAGTTTACACTCAGTTGAAGTTTGAAGTGCTGAAAGTCTTGAATGAAGTAGAGCTGAAAGCTGTTTGCTTTAATCAAATCTCTTGCGTGGACTCTCTCCCAACAGTTTGATTTAGTCAAAGAAGCTGAAGTGGCTGAGAGGAGTTTCATTTTAGGTGAAAAGACGATGAAATGTTGATTCCAGTGTGAGCGCTGAGTGAAGTTGAAGTGAAAGTGCTCAAAGGACTAAAGATTCAGACAAAGAAAGTGAAAACTAAAAGCGGAAAGGAGAAAGGAGAGGAGTTACATGGTGAGTTGTTGATGAAGTGCAGGGAGGAGTTTCAGGTTAGATCATCGCTTAGTGAAGTTAAAGTGGAGTAACGTAAACAAGGACCTGAAATCGTCAGAAGTGATTACCTACAGGGAATTAAGTCAATTCGACAGGATCAAGATAATAGCACTCTCAGTCAATGTGATCGCTCTAAAGATTTCAGTGCAACATATTGAACTGGTCCGTTGGTGTTATATTGCTGGAACAATGTTGATGCTGCCCTTTGGCCGGGTCACTGGTGAAAGAGTTGACATTTAAATCTCAATGAGACTTAAAAACCTGGTTAAATAAAGGATGAGCTCCAATATGAATTCATAGTGTAACGGAATAGCTGTAGGAAGGTGTGAATGGCAGTTAAAATGGAAGTAAACAGCTGAAGGAAGTTGAAGTGAAAGTTCTGAAAGGAGCAAAGATTCTACACTAAAAGGAGTTGAAGTGTCAGTTGAAGTGCAGGAGATGAATTGAACTGACTGTTTGAGTTCAAGTGCAACAAATGAACGATGTCAGTTGAAGTGCCAGAACTGAAGGCAGTTGGAGTAAATTGTGTACAAACATGTGCTCGTACTGTGGTTCAGAAAACAACACGTTCAACAGCGGCTTTTTGTAATTGTTTTTAAGGAAAGTGAAGCGTGGCTTTTGCGTTCCTATGCGCCTCGCGTTTTTTGCAGAGGCGCCCTGAACGCCTCACGTTGAAATGAATTCAACTCATTAGCGTCATCGATTTTAAAGTGCACCACTAAGTATTAGGTAGCGTACAGTTCTTGGTTTGTCTGAAGCTAATGTTAGAACTCAACAATATAAAAAAAGATGCAGCAAACTGCTAAAGAAACCTTCTGTCTCATTGGGTAAGAAGAATAAAGTGTGTTCCATCTTTCCACCTGCTGAGCCTGCTCTATCTGATCCGGGTCTTAATCAGCACCTGACCCAGTTCTTTATCACAAACAGAGTTGTTTAGGTCCGGATGTCCTCTTGATAGCTCAGTTTGCTCACAAGTAGAAGTCAAAGGTAAGAAAACTCTTGAAGTCATGTTTCTCTCAAAGCCAAATGTCAACAGTCATAAAACAGACTGCATTCAGGCTGTAACTACTCAGGGGGTCAGAGGTCAGAGTGTTCACTTAGTGAGGGATCAGCGCCGTTGATCGACTCGCCAGTTTGGCCTTTTCAGTCGCTGTAACTGAAGGTCGGAGCTGCTCAGAGTCTCAGCCAGGTTCAGTTCATCATCTTCAAAGAAAGTCTGCAGCTGCTGCACTCAAACCAAAAGAGTAAAGAAAAAA